CAAAAACAAATTGAGAAAAAAAAAAAGATACATTTGACTTCTGGAACTGAAGAGAAGTTAGGAGAAATGGGGAACAGACCAGGAAGAGTAAATTTCCCATAGTGATCAAGCAATGTTGGAAATCAGATTTGTGTCTTAAAGTGTATCTATCTGTATCTAGCAGAGAGAACTGACACCAAGTTGTGAAGATAAAACTTGGCCTGAACAGTTAAAATATGCTCATCTGGCTCTGCAGGTAAGCAGAACCACATTTTCTTTCAGCCTTTGATGAAAATCTATGAAATATAGCAAAGCTGGCAGGGAAGGATAAAGGAATAAGAAACTAGACATATAGACAAGAAGAACTTTCATCTGCTTTTATACTTTGGGTGAAAGAATGACTGAATAATTACAATCTAATAATTAATTCTGTTAGCCATGGTAAGTATGTTCCAGAGAAAGTGAGACATTTGAGCTGACAATGCAGTGTGGACAAGGCACACTGGAGTCCCCAAGCACACGCTTTGTCTTCTAAATGAACACTTGTAGGGTCAGGCCCAGAGGCAGCACAGCTGCTTTCAGGCAGTGAGGAGCTGAAATAACCTGTCAGGCTCTTGTGGGTATGTGGAGAGCCAGCCTAGCACTCCATGAATCCCATTCCTATGACTGGGCACAAAGCCAGACCCTCTTCATCACGTCTGTGATTCAGCCCCTGCTGATCAGTCTGATTTGGGTCTGTTAAGAAGCACTGATGTGTCTGCCCTGTGTGTGGCTCTAGTGTGGCACCAAGTTCTACTGTCTCCCAAATATTTTACTGAAAAGGGTCATAGTGCAGTCTGAGTCCGAGCCTGCCTTGTATCTAAGGCATCTGCAAAGTATTTCCCTGATATTTATCACCTTGAAATTCCTGATGTTGTCCTGGGTTCTGCATACAAAATTTTGTTTTAACACAGTATGCTGATGTGTCCATAATAAAGCAATGATAAATTAACATTTATTAAATGCATTAAAGCGTTGCATCTTCAGAGAACTATACTTCATTAGCTAATCTTAATTACTCTTGACAATACTCCCGTGACTAAGTTAAAACTTGTTTATTTATTTCAATAAACTTTCCTGTGAACTAACTGGGGAGTTATCCTGAGTAAGTGAGGAGAATTGGAATAAGAAAAAGACAGAACACAGAATGATGCAGGAAGGAAAGGAAGTCCTTACTTGTTGTGAAACTCTCTTGCTAGGATATTGTATGCTGGTTTTTTTGCTTAGCACAGAAGAGGAGAATTGTTATGTTGCTCTGCAGGGCAGTTTTATTAATACATACATTGGTTTAAAGAATGTACATCATCACATCTTTTGCAGCCCTCACAGCATACAAATCCCAAAATAACTCACATGCAGGTTTCTCTGTCTTTATTCCACTACAGGCTGATCACTGCTCTGAAGCCCATAGGTGCTGTGTGTGCACAACTGAACCATTTTGGTTCCTACAACCCAAACCACACTGAATGTGGCACTGCTCTATTCTAAATATGGATCACAGTCCTGTCAGTCTCCATCTTTCTCCCAAGACTTCTTTGCTTGAGGTAGAATTCATGTGCCTTATTCTGGACTTTTACTATTTAAATTGGCTTCCATATAACAATATAAAACATGCTTAAAATCAGCTTCAGTGAAATTATTACTGCAGTTACTTGAAACTCCTTGAAATTTTTGGTATAATTAGTGGAATAAAGAGTTTTCCACAGTAGCCCTCCTTTGTAATCTATTACTGTGTAATGTTAATAAACCCAATAAGTAATTTTTTTCAAGCTCTAACAACTATGATTTAGTATTTTGGTTCATATTTTTTACAGCAAATTTCTAATTGAAGAGAATTTATTTTTTTCTGGAAAACTTAAGCAAGATCTCATTGGCTGCATTTGAGTAAAAGTGAGGGAATGAGTATTTGTACTGGCCAGAAAAAGCAAAGAAATAGAAGAAGTACTAAATTCAGAATGATTTGCCTTATGTCCCATAATGCAAACAGCAGTTTGGACCCTACACATTTGAACTCTTATTCTTACATTTGAACTCTTATTCTGCATGGCATAACTTGCAGGCTGGCTGATTTTTTGTTTTCTATGGTTTAAGGGGTTCTTAAGAGCATGGCCCTGTAACTCCTTCCTAAACTGTGGGAACTTAAAAGGCCAACTGATCTTTCACATACCTCAGCTGGCAATTCTCCATTTCTCAGCAGCAATCTCCTTTGAAAGCAGCTGCCATTTTAATTTTTTGGCTGCATAATCACGTCTCAGATTCTAAAAAGTCCCATTAGCCTTCTGTTCAATAAGGAAAAACTAAATCTCAAATACATTTTTTAATAATATTTTTTCATACAAGTGTATAGCTTAGGAATGAGCACTGTGAGGTAGCAGGAGGAGGTACAGGGTATAAACTAATGAAGTGTGCTTTAGCATTTTCATTCTAGTATATGTTCTCACAAGGGAGTGGGCACTTGACCCCATTAACATAAGGCCAGTACTCTGAAATTATGTTTCCTAGGCTTGTTATGGTCTGCATTCTTAAGAGTCACAGGATAATCTGTATTCTATTTGACTTGTCATGTGAGATATATGATACTTATTTGGTACTTTTCATTTCAAGAGAACATGGACTGTCCTGGGGTCAGGGATTTCTGATTTCAATAGTCAGGAGCTTGTGACATTTCTGTGCAGTTTGGAGACTCTTTGGTTGACACAGGCTGGTATCTGAACTACTCAAATATTTATTCCTTGCTGTCTAAGTTTCTCCGAGAAGTTTCACTGGTGTCTTAATTAGAAAGCTACATGATTACTCATAACACAAATGCCAGAGTTAATTTTGGCTGTCTTGCTCTAACTGTTCTCTAATTGGGACACTTCCGAATGAAGTATGGATGCAGGCAAGGTTCCTGGCTCACTCTGGGCATGTCTAACTTAGACAATCCACGAAGTATTAAAGTCTCTTTTAATGGTTACTCCACAAAAAGATATTCATCTTTGAGTGGTGCCTGCCCACAGCCAAGCACGTGAGCAGCATCCCCTTTTTGCCGACGCGCACTGCGTTCCTTGGAAACCGAAGTACTGCTAACTGCAGAGGGCTGTCCCAGGGCAGGACCCTTGCTGGGCCAAGGGCAGGGTCACGGCTCCGACGTGGGTTTTGAGAAGCAGCAGTGCTGGGAATCGCTCCGAGCAGCCTCCAGCCCCGGCCCTGCTCCGCCCGGCCCCGCTCCCGAAGGAAGGCGGCGCCGCTCGGCTGCCCTCTGGCGGCCGGGCCGGGGCGGGTCTGGTGAATGTTAATGTTTTATAACGGAAGTACAAAATTAGGGAGTTTTATTGATTCATCTGTCATGTACGCACTGTGGTATTAATCATTAATTTGATTGAGAATTTAGAGCTCCTTACCTTTCAAGCTCTGGTTCTACTGGCTCTCAAACACTTGCATATTGACAAATGAATAGCATTGATTTTCCTCAAGTAGATTGATTACTTAGATGCAAAAGATTCTCTTCCCCCCTCCCCCCCCCCCGCCATGGACGATAGCAAAGGAAGAGCTGCAGCTTTGATCTCACTGACTGGAAGCCTCTTCTATTCCTCTGGCATGTACTTTATTTTTTTTTTTTTTTTTGAGGCAAAAGGAAAGAATTGCCTTTTGTGGCATTCTCCTCTGCTATGCCAATTTCTTATCTGTATCCATTTAGCAAAAGGGATCTTTAGATATATTTCCTTAGATTTTTCATCATACTGTTCAGTATCCCAATGTTAAAAGTTATTTCTTTTAAAGTGCTAAAGAAACTGTGGCAGCAAGACAACCCAACTAAAAGGCAGATGTGAAATATGAAGTAGCACATGTATTTAAAAAAATTACTTGGGACAACCAAAGAAATTACAACAGAGGATAGAGAACATAGCCCATGGAAAAATGTGACAGGCACTGGCATATGTTCACCATTTGAATTAATCATTTTTCCCCACACCGTAGAGCAGAGAGGAGTTTAGAGCCTGAAGGAAGGCACACTTTGAGTTTTACTGTCCTATCAGCTACCTGTAACCCGCTGAGATTCGTATAGCCTCCTACCCTTCTCAAAAGGTACTCAAGGCAATTTGTGTTGACTATAAGTGGAAGCTCATGGTCATAAACTGACTACTTGGAAGATACTATCTAGAACCTGAAACAATTTATAGAAAATATTCCATAGGAAATATTTAATGTAGAATTTGCAAAGCAGAGAGAACTGCTGTTCTTCCTTCCTTTCATCATCAGTTTTAAAATCATATCCACATGAGTATCATTAAAAGCCCTGCACCTTGCAGGCCACACACACACACAACAGAAGGGTGTGGGCGTGTTTCACTGTACACTTGACTCACCCTTCTCATGCTATGTGTTGGGCTCCTTCCAAGTGCCAAATCCTCTTCGCAGGTGCTGCCCAGCTCATTTTTCACACACAAGAAATGAGAGTTTAGCACACAGTTTCATGGGAGATGACAGCAGACTGAAGGAAGGGTCCAGGAAAAATCCTGAACTGCGGACTGCACCTTCCTTTCACTCACCCACATGCGTTTATTGCTGGGGGCGGGGGGACGGGACAGACACACAGTGCTCTGGAACGCCGATGAAATACTCCTGAGCTGCTTATTGCAATTACAACGCTCGTGTTGCCCCTCCAATTAAAACCAAGCCAAGGTGAAGCAAGGGGAGGGATCACTAAGCCGGGTTCAGGTGTGGGCACTGAGGAGCTCAGGGAAGCCGGAGGGGGACACCACCTTTTAGAAGGGGAGTGACTTCTTTCCGCCCCCTCCCCGGGCCGCTCCCTGCCGGCTGCACTGAAGCAGGGCCGGGTAGCTCGGCGGCCGCAGGTCGGAACCCGTGAGGGCTGAGGGCGGCGGGCGGACCCGCTCGGCCGCTGCGGCGGGGCCTGGGCGAGCCCATCGCGCCGTGCGCGCAGGGAGGGAGCGAGGACGGACGGAACGGACGGACCGACCGACCGGCGCGCGGGCGGGGAGAGCCGCCGCCAGCCGGGTGCACGGCAACCTGATCCCGGTCCAACATGGTCGCCGCTCACGCCTCCCATTCCTCGTCCTCCGGCGAGTGGATCGCGTGCCTGGATAAAAGGTATCGGCATCTTCCCAGGAGCCGCTGCGGAGGGATGCTGTGTGTATGCGTGTGTATGTATATGTGTGTGTGTGTGTCTGCGCTGACACCCCCCCATCCCCGCTCTCCATCAGATCCTGCCTTACATAAGGAGTGTGCAGGTGGGAAGGAAAACGCCTGGGGGAAGCCAGGGCTGCGGGCAAGGATGAGGGCTAGAAATACTCCGGGCAGCGGAGGGGACAGGCAGTCCCCATAGGATTGCTGCTCCCCGCCGGGAAGATACAGCACGTGGTGGAGGAGGGGGAGCTCCGGGGCGGGGAGAGGGCCTGGGGCTGCCAGCCGGGGGCCCCCTGCCGTATCGGCCATGGCAGACCCGCTGCATTCGGCCCTCGTCCGCCCTCACCTGCCCCCACGGCGCCCCAGCCGCTGCCTCCCCTCCGCTCGGCACACCGGCCCCGCTCCCGCAGCGGCCGCACAGCCCCCGCCCAGCAACGTCGCAGGGCGGACGGGAAAGGACGAGTCCCTCTCGTCCCCGCTGCGGCGCCCCGGGGCCCGCGGTTGTCCCCGGGCTGCGGGTCAGGTGCAGGCGGGCGGCGGCAACCGCGTGGGCGGCAGGCACGGTTGGCTGACGTGTGCTCAGAGCTGGTGTGCGCGCTGCCAAAAATACGGGCAAATTATTATTATTAAAAAAGTAACGTTAAAAATTCTCTGCGGTGCTTTCTCTCGGGTGCTGCAGCCCCAAGTCTCGCAATGTCGGGTCGCGTGGCGGGTGGTTTGAACGCCCTTTGCTGTATTCATAGCTTTGATTCTTGGATTAGTTCAGAAGTCATTTAATGGCTGAACACTCACTGTGTCTCCTGTGGTCTAGGAATTTAGTTAACAAAAATGCAGACCATGGATTCCTAAGGAGCTCAAAAGAAAGCTATCAGAGAGCATTCCCTTACGTGGTGCATGGCAGTTAGCTGAGCATCCTGAGCCAGCTTCTGACAGGTGGCATCATTTGGGGCTGTGCTGTGGCGAGAACCCTTTGTGCACATAGAGGGGACCTTCCCCTTCTCATAGTTTCTCCCTTTTTCAGGTAACTCTTAGTCTTGTAGGACTGCACTTACTTAGGTTTTCCTTAACAGTCCAGGTAGCAAACTGTAAGTTAATGGAACTTCTGGGTTATACACTCTAGACACCTACCACAGACACTGATCCTCCTCTGTACCATGTGACCTCTTAGAGATCAAATAATGTTTATGAACGTTGAAAGCTCTCATAAAGTAAATACAAACAGAACTGTTGATGGTAATCTAGCTAAGAGCCAAAGTGAGGCCTCTCTGTAAACTGACGTTGAGCAGAGGTGAAGGAGAGAATGGGTCCCAGTACTTCTAGATTGATGATCCTTTCGTTTCTGTTTTCCTACATTCAATACACTCTGAGATTCAAACTGTGAACTCAAATTCAGGGCTTAATGAAGTACGTAGCCTTGGGGAGCAGACAATGTATTTAGTAAACATATGTTAGAAATTAGTTTTAATTTAGAAATCTCTCTGTCATAATTAATAAGCTGACCCTTTCTGTACCACAAATTTCATTAGAGCTATTAAGGTGAAACTTTCCTTTCACTTTTTGTTACTTAGAGTAAGCTAGTAGCACCAATTTATGGAGTGGAAAGAATCAGTTCCAAGTGCTCTTAAGAATCTACCCTTTCCCAGAAGGCAGTCTATATGTAGGAGAAACCCATAACATGAACAATTGTAGGTTTTTTTCTGGTCTTTGCTTTTTGATCATAGGAAGTACACTTATGCATTTTATTCTGTTTTTCCACCTAAAACCACAGATAAAGTGTTTTTAATTAACTTACACACTTGTGTTTCTAAAGTGTATTTATTTTCTATGGATAATCTTACTAATGTAGTAATTTGAATTATTATAAATGTCTATGTATTTTAAACCTTATGAAAATTGTATAGCATTTTCTATCCCAAGTGTGAATTCTGTGAATATGGGATCATTTAATGAGTAGATTCTCTATAGAGTACCATGTGTTTTTACTAAATAATAAATAGAGTTTTTAGTCAATGAATATATTTCCAGGAGAGAAACAGTTCTAAACCTGATATGCTTTAGAATGTTAAGTGACCCTCAACAAAGACAATTAAAATAACATGTAATATGGATTATCCAGTATAATCACGTGGAAAAAAAATTCAAAATGGAAATAGCAAAATACATCATGTATAGAAATTAATGTATTTTGTATTTGTTCTTCAGGTTTTTCCCCAAATCATGTGTCAAAGTGGAACTACTAACATTTAAAATTAGAGCACATATAAAAATGAAGCACTGCCAAAACTTTTACAGGAGAAATGTTATTACTTTGTAGGGTACTGTAGGCTGGGACTACTGGTGCTTTGTCTGTGTGGCTTCCATATGTAGTTACTGGCCACAAAAGTCAAAGATCCACACTTAAAAATCAAATACCTGGGGCAGTATTTATATATAAAGTTATAAGTGTAAAGGTAAGGAAAATTTCAGAACACTGTGCTCTATCAAGAATATTTAATTTTTGCAGGAGAGAGGGAGGATCAGCAGTGAGCAACTGTACATCCTGGTTATACCTGGAGATATGAATAATTTTTCTCTTGAGGAAACCAGTCCTTTTACATTTGAAGTAATAGTTGCTTTATGCTGATTTCTTAGTCAGCAGAAGTACCCTTCTAATCTTAGCACTTTTCTGTGTGTCTGCTCTGCACATAATTTAAAAAGGGTCACTGATTTATGCATGTGTGTACAGTTAACTTGGGAAGAATGTCTTCTCTATTCTCATGTGTTCTTTCACACCAAAAACCATCTGACCATCTGAAATTTCCATGTTGACATATCTTTACTGAATGGTATACACAGTATATATATATAACTATTATTTCTCTAAATCTATGAATTCAGATTAATTCTCTAAATTTATGAATTCAGTTACTAGTTTTAATTGGATTCAGATGCAAGCTTTTAGGGATGTACAGCATGCACAACTGCTAGAGATCCCAGGATTTCATACCTGGCTATGGTATCTGGTGTTTTTCTCTGAATTAAATGTAACCTTCAGTGCCTTAACAGACTGGAGGAGTGGATCACAGGGCAAAGCATGTAACTTCACTGGCTTGTTGTGCTAAGGATGTTATGGTCTTTGCCTAATGACTTCTAAATTATTTAAGTAGGAATGGGCTTTTCAAGGACTTCTGGTACAGACTGAGCCTTTATAACCTTGTCATCCTTGTTAGTCTTGCATCATTTATGTTTAAAAAATCTGAAATAATGTGTACTGGGTAGTATCTCAGACTTGTTCCTCCCACAGATTTGAATGCAAATTCAGATTGAAGCTACATAACAGCAGCATATTTGAATCAGGATTTGGTTTTTTAGTTTAGTGTAACATGTATTTGAGATGCAGGCTTTGTTTGCTTAGTAGTAAACAAGGGATCCCTTCTGAGCATAAATATAGGCTAGAATAAAGAATTGATATTCTGAGAGAATTGTTGTAGAATAAATAGTGAAAATGCTTGTCATCCTCTATAACCTTTAGTTATGTCAAAGATAATGGGATATAATTTATAATCAGGCAATATTATGAATACAGTTGCATTATGATGCTGTTTTATTTTAAAAAATATTTTTGCAATTGGTAAAACTTATACTGTCTTCTATATAAATTCCTCCCTTTTTATTTGTAACAAATCCATAGGAATATCCCCATTTTCATGTAGTTTGCATCTGAACAAAATCATGGATATACACTGCAGTTCCGGTTGGCTTGTGTGCTTCGTGTTTTCTCTCTGTGTGCTGTGTGACTAAGCTGCTATATGCTTGGATCAAGTCTGTGTGGGGATATAGCAGCAGAAGGCACTGCAGTGGATGTGGAAACTCAGAGCTGTACAGACACAGCCCAAGTGCTTTCCAGCACTCCTGTGAGGGTGCAGTCTTCTGAGAGCGATGAATAACAAATTTATCTTTCCACATCGTGCACCTCATTTTCTAGTTCAGTGCAAAGGTGCAGTCTTTGATGAATAATAAAAAAGCCTTTTCCTTTCCATGTTTTCTTAGAAAAACCAAAATAATTGTTTGTAGGTCTGTGCATTTCATCAAATATGTGAATTCAGATTAAATCCTAGTGAGAGCTGGAGTTGTATTTTAAATAAGCTGTTTTATTTTTGCTCTCTGGTTTACACATTTGCAGTACCGGCTTCCATTTGTTTCATGTGGTTGCAGTAAGTTACACACTTGTGCCATGGACAGGTATTAAGAGGAAGAGAAAGTGATTACCCCAGCATTGTGTAAACATTGTCATAGCCCAGCAGAGCAAGGCAGTACGTGCACATTGGACAGTTAGGACATGATACATTCAAATTTAGTTGGTAGTCCTGTGAAGTGGCTGCAGGATTGGTATGCTACACGTGCACCTATAGGTTTTCTCGTTCACCAGATGATACTGGAAACATGTTTAAACTCTCGTTGCCTGAGTTCTTTCTGACATGTTGTTAGGATTTGATCTGCAAAATCCTGTAAAATCCTATACTCGAAGCAGATTAAATTTATTTTATAAAAAAACTCCATATCCCAGCAAAGGAATAAAAAAACCGACAAACCAGCTAATTGAAATTGTGCCCTCAAAGTCAGGTGTTCACCAGATATTTTCCAAATACAAGTATTTTTCTTATCTAGCACGACATCTGTTTTTGTCTGCATCATACAATTTGCTGCATTTAACAAAGCTTATCATTCTAATGATACTTCCTTAGTGCTGTATTTTCTGCTCTGTATTTGGCATGATCAGTTACTATTTCTGCTGCTTTATCAATATCCATGAATGTTTCCTGAACTGACTTTCTCTTTCATCTTTGAATTTATCAGTTGTCAAAATGCATGCAAATGTAAATCTGTAAAACTTATTTCATTATTGCTGTAAATTTTAAATTTTCACTAGCTGTTACAATGCAGATCCTAAACCAGGAAAGGTGCATTTGGCATGGTGTTATTGG